TTTTTTTTTAGATTTAGTAGAAATTGTTTCATGAGCTGCTTGATATTATGATATAATGAGTAACTTAGTTTACACTTACAATTTACTTGGAATCTTGATACCCTCTCATGTCTACACATGCATACTGTATGTCCTTTTATCATTGAATGCAATTTTACATTTATTGCAAAAACAGAAAAGAATCGGTCATTTATTTTGTACTTCTGATTAAATACTTTAGAAGACTTTCCATCTAAATTATCCACATTTGTTTTCAATCAGGCGTATCGCAGCTTGCTGTAGTGGTCAACAAGATGGACACAATTGAATGGTCAAGGAAAAGATTTGATGAAGTAACCCAGAAGATGAAACAATTTCTGAAACAGGCAGGGTTTAAAGAGGCTGAATTGAGCTTTATTCCCTGCAGCGGTCTTGGAGGTGAAAACCTAACCAGGGTAACAGAGGCTAAGCTCCAGGAATGGTACAAGGGTCCCACATTATTAGAACAGATAGGTGAGGAATGTGACACACAACAAGTGCTCTGTGCCTTTTGTTTCACAAATGATATAGTTGTATCAAAAAAAGAGTAGCAATCATGGCAATCATTGAAGGTAACTTTCAAAAATACATTTTGTTACTTTCCAGATAAATTCAAAGCCCCAGAGCGCCTGGTAAACAAACCATTTAGGATGTGTGTTTCCGATGTGTTCAAAGGGATGGGGAGTGGGTTCTCCATCAGTGGTCGTCTGGAGGCTGGTAGTGTGCAGGCGGGAGACAAGGTGGTTGTAATGCCAGCAGGAGAAACTGCCACTGTAAAAAGTGAGTCACCAGACAGTTCTGTCAAATAATTTTAATGTAGACACTTGGTGTTTCATATTTCAAATTCAATGAGTGTGCATGTTGTGCTTATTTCAGTTAACATTAAAGTCGATATTAATTTAAGAACCAGTTTGAACTTTTTAGACAAATCTATACCATTTTGCCTTCAACACCTACTGAATATAAAAGTATGCCATTTACTTGGACTTCTACATAATACTATTGGTTAAAAAATATATGTCATCTCAAATATTTGTATGTGTGTGTGTGTGTGTTTATATACATTTAGTTAAACATTTTGCATGCAACAGATGTAAATAATGCTCCTTTGCTAGATCAGTATGAACAGAACTGATCATACATATTAGAAAAGAAATGTCCAGCAAGTCCAGTTTCTGTAGTGATTGCTGAACTGAAGAAATAAATGTTTATTTACAGGTGTGACCATTGATGAAGTGCTATGTCCCTGTGCCTTAGCTGGTGACAATGCTATTGTCACTGTTACTGGGATTGATATGTCCAATGTGCACATAGGTAAGACTGAGCATAGGCACAAAGAGTGTGTCATTTTGATATACTTGATTGGAATGAAAGCTCAATATAAAATGTTCTGAGCAAAACAATAAGAGGGAAATTTGTGTAGCTCAGGATTGTATTAATGTGAAGTGTATCAGAAAGCATGAATTGTTTTGAGAAATAAAGTGCCTAATAGAAAATGATCTTAAGTAATATTTCTTGTCTGTTTTCCAAGTTTAAGTTCTGGTATAGGAAGTTAAATATTAAACCATCTTAGGAAATTGATTAAGTTAAGACGTGTTTAATACTTTCCTGTTTACCTTCAGGGAGTATCCTTTGTGACCCCGCCAACCCAATTAAGTCAGCAACAAGAATAAAAGCGAGAGTGGTCATCTTTAACATTGAAGTGCCAATAACTAAAGGTTTTCCGGTGAGTGGTAGTAATGTTGAAAGCTTTAAATGAAGATTAAAATTTACCAATAATTTTTGACAGTTACTGTACGAGTTCTCGAAGTTTAGGATGTACTTTTTGTTCATGGAGTTTTATAATGCTATTGTCTTCAAGTAATTCAGATTATTTTTCCCTTTTTCAAAAAGGTTGTTCTCCACTACCAAACTTTGAATGAGCCTGCCACCATCAGAAAACTGATTAGTCAATTACACAAATCAACAGGGGAGGTTGTTAAGAAAAAACCAAGGTAAAGGAAATGCCAAACATTATCATGATCCTTTTTTTAATACAATGTAAGAGGTGATAAATGAAGAATAATCATATAATTGCTTTTATTCCCAGATAATATTCCAGCAGATGTTCATGTTTACTTTGTGTTAATGATTAACACTTGCTGTTTTAATATTTTATTCAGGTGCTTAACTAAGAACATGAATGCCGTGATTGAGATAGAAGTGGGACGGCCAATATGCATAGAAATGTTCAGAGATTACAAAGATCTGGGTAGATTTATGCTACGTTACAGCGGCATGACCATAGCTGCTGGTCTAGTCACAGAAGTAAGTTTTCCTCATATGTATTATAATTTTCTTTTGATGAAATCCATCACTGTGTTATGTGGCACTTCACTCTATGTATTTTATATTGTTCATATAACAAGATTTAAATTATTTTTATATATAACGCTTTATAAAACAATACATTTCTTTTCCGTTTCTAGATCATTGAGAGCAAAGCAAATATGGGTTAGAGCCATGACCATTTTAAATGGACACTCCATGGACAGGGGGCAGAGGCTACATATAGAAGATAGCAACGTTGACTTTTATCCCAGCATAAGCTCGATAAAAAGAAATCTTAGATACTGAATTCAAGGATTAGGTGCAATACTCCAGAAGGTCTAGATTGCACCAAGTTTTAACAGAGACAAATATTTACTGTTTTTAGATGATTTCTTCATTTTGATGTGAAACAGCGAATTGGGGAACTTAAAAATAAATGTGATTGTTAACAAAAGCTTTGTTTCTCGAACACCATTATTTTTTTGATTAAAGAATAGAGAATGCCTTATTTGCCCATTTAGGTCCAAGGTCAACCTCCCAGTATTAGCAATCTGCCACCAAATGAGAACAAACTGTATGTGAAGATCACATTAATATGGCAAAAAAGTTTGTCCAAAAATTAATTCCTAGTTGCCAGATACAAGAGTTGACTAAATTCTCACACAAAGGGCTCTTAGTCAGAAATTTGGAGGGTTCCATTACTGGAAGTGAATTCTTAGAAGCAATTCAAAGACGTCCACAGGTGAAGAACTTAAACTTCATATGCAGTTCACTTGTTTTATTACTGCTAATCATGTACAGTACAAAATGGCAAACTGCTGCATTGACATCTTCAGATTACTCTGAAAAGTTTTTAAAATTGCCTTGCCCAATATTCTAGCACTGAAATTGTGGGATTTTCCACAAAAAATGTAACCTACATAATGACTTGACTGCACTTTCAACTGTAACCAAATAGGTCTAATTGTTTCACTTATAGACTTATCATTAAGCATAAAAGGTGCCATAGTGTTTATATACAAATAAAGTAGTATACTACCTACAAACTAATCTGACCTTAATTAAATGCATCACATAAGCACTGAACCCCAACTGCCAAGTATTAATACTTGAAATATTAGTCCCCTTCACCCTTTACACAGTAGTATCATACCCTGCAGACAAAATCTATGACTAACTTGAGGATCAACCATTACCAAGTCTACAGAGACCAATGTAAAATCAACTTGAGCTCAATTAATATATTATCTACCAGCAACATTTTCTCTCTTTGTGTTTCACATGGCATGAAGAACATCCACCCAACATGACCAAGTTCTTCCAGAAAGCCTGTAAGTTGGGACACTCTAGATCAAAACAAGAGCACCTAAAAAACAAATCTTACCTTAACAGATACCTTAAAGGAAATTTCTTATTGAAAGAAATTTGAGCCTTTGTCTAAGATATGACAAGTAACAGTATGCATATTCACAAATATACAAAAGAAAAGTTGGACAACCACTATTCTGCCAGCCAAAGGAGTAAATGCTACTAAATTTGAGGAATAAGGGTGGATTTGTGCAGTGCCCCCAAAAAGATTAATAATATAGTTTGGCTTATAGCCCTGGGATTATTCTCATCCAAAATAACCATCTGTACTATCTAATTTTTTAGATTCTTATACTATTAATAAAATATTTAGAGGGTTACAGACTAATATTCTGTTTAATCTTTTTAACACTGATATTTTAAAAAGGTAGATCGTACTCCAGCATTCTGAGCCAATAAATATAACAAATCATTTTTCATTTCAACTGGTCCTATACAACAATGTGGAATTTTACATATTTAAATCATTTCTTAACAATACTCTGTGGCTTGTTCAGCATTTATATGTGAAAATTCATAACATCACAGCCTTCAGTCTGAAAATTACCATTTTCAAGACCATATTGTGGCAAGATACAAGCCAAATGACAACAGTCCTTCCAAAAATAATAATTGAAGATTAGTAAAATACATTGAATATTTCCTCCCCTTTACCTCCCTTTCTTTAAAATTTCAAAATGAAACAATTTATAATTATAAATACATGCTCAGTCCTCAACATGCTGCAAGGCCTACACACAGTGGTGTGAGCTATATAACCATAAGGGGTGACCCACTGGTTCAGCTACATAGCCTTACATTATCATTTTGATATACTAAGTAAATTTCAGCTCAATGTTTCAAACAACCTGTACCAACACATCCAGTTTGACATCCAATAGAGTCCACTACTATCTTTGGCATTCAACCAACCAGCACCCAATTCAACATTAAGTCTTTACCACTGCAACACACTCCTAACAAATCCACTTATACTGTTACAGTAGGTGGAGACACAACAGTGATCAAAATGTGACCTTAATCACCATGCATCAATTACAGCTTATTAACTTCCCTTTACGACTTTCCATTAATTCTACTTCGTAACAATTGGACTGATTTTTTTTTCAAAACCACTAGCTCTGAAATGAATTGGATTGATACTGTAATGCTGAACTGCCCTGATGGGGTTCACATGTCCCCTGAACAAGGAATGTTTGTAAGTGATGCTTTCCTGGATTTAATAGAATGTTTCACATTCTTATTTCATAAAAAAAAAAAAAAAAAGAAAAAATTAATTTTCCCTTCTGGCTTTCTTCTTCTTTTTCTGTGGCTTTGCCTCCAACCAATCATTACCTACAACAGAAAGAAATATATTTATGTTCTACAAGATCATAGCACTGAAGAATTGTGTAATACATTAGTGTAAGTTTTAAAAATCTACCCTGACCATAAAAACCTGTGACATTAAAAATTTCTTCTCAGATATGTTAATTTCTTGACTGCACTGTAAACTTACTTTCTCCTCCAAGCTCATCGAAGTTGACCTTGCTGTCATCAGTACTTGATGCGATAACACTTTCTGTTTTAGTGCTAGATTCAGTTGTATTGCTAGCACCTATAATAAACAAAAAAGAAACAAAAATCTCTTATAGTTATACTAGCAATTTTTATACAATTCAGTGGCTATTGTGACAGGCATGTTATTTCTTACCTAAGTTCCAGGGTGTCTTAAAAGGTATATGTAAATGCATTAATTATAAATCAGAAAATAACTTACCTTTTGTATCATTTTGTTGGTTGCTGAGACTAGTTTTGGAGTCAGCACCTTTTTTTGGCACTTGGGCTTGGCCACTTGGAGACGATGGACTAGATAATGTAGCATCCTACACAAGAAAAAAGTAGAAGCAATGAAAAATAATAAAAAGAATTTATCATTTGTGATCCAAAAGAACTAAGACACAAAGATTATCAAATGTATAAAACATATAAAATAAAATGTGTCAAAGCATCAAATTTCATCTAAACTCAAACCTCTCAAGAAACATTCAACAGAAAATGAATATTGACATCGGGGATTACTTTTTAAGAACATATTTTATCAAACTTATCAACACATCAAGAAGAAATGCATTACTCACTGCTGCTTCATTTTGATGAGACTGCTGCTTCTTATTCTTTTTCTTTGGTGTTTGAGAAGCTTTAGGACTTTCTCCTACATCCTCTGTACTCTTGTCTTTCACTGGCTTTTCATCAGCTGGTGTGGATTGAGCTGCAGCAGCCTTGGCTTCTTTCTGCTTAGCAGTTGGTTTTGTTTTCTTGTTACTGACTTCATGGAACTCTGTTTCATCTACAACCTTGGCCTAATATTTAAAAGTAATGTCCAATGAAAGAGTCAACTGACATTCACCACATTGCTTTATTTGATTATGGAATACACTGCCAATATTATAATAAAAACAAACAAATATGACTGTTATGAAAGTCTGGATATAAGACACCATTGTCAGGTATATCTGTTTAACACACAACACTGTACACTATATGAAGACTTACCACAACCTCTTCCGTTTTTAGTGGTTTTGTCTCTGTTTCTTGCTTGCTAGCATCCTTCTTTTCCTAAAATGGACAACTTTTAGTAACCATTATCAATATCAACAGTGTGGAAATATTCATCTAAACTGAAATACTTTGAGGATACAGATATATCAAAAAAGGGAGCAACAAATCTGACTTACAAGGACTCTTTCGACAAGATATGCATCAATACCACAGATCACTTAGATAAGTCAAATATTCACACCTGTTTCTTCTCTTTCTTTGACTTAGCAGACTTGGGTGTTGTGCTGCTGGGCTCCTCCTTCTTTTTCTTATCCCCTTGTCCCTGCAATTCTACACTGACTGACTCAGCACTGTCACCCTTTGCACCATCTTCCTTCTTATTAACACGCAGTTTCTTATCTTTGCGAGACAGTTGTGTCGTCCATTCTCCAACTAAAATTGCCCATAAAAATTATTAAATTGAATGAAATTAAAGGTTTCCAATATTTCTGTTTGCTTAAATCAATATGAATGCTTTAAAAAATTTAAGAGAAAATTTCAATTATTTTGAACAAATCCCGGTCTTTTTATCATAAATGTTTCAGGGTGTGAGCACTATTACCATGGAGAAGTTTATGAAGTGTGTGTGTGTGTGTGTGTGTGTGTGTGTGCATGTGTATGTGTGAGTGGTCTAGCCATGTGCACTAACCATCCTCTTCTGTGACCTCTGGTTTGCTTGCACTGGTCTCAGTTTTGTGGTTGGCTTTTGAGTTTGTGGCAGCAGCTTTTTTACCCTGCAGTCAAGTTAAATGCCAACTGATTACTTTTCTGACATACACAATAACCAATTAAGCAGAACAATGCAAACTACCTCTTGTAATGTGTTTGATTTAAAATACCACAGGTAAGTTCCAATTTAAAACATTACGACAATAAACCAAAACACTAATGCTGCCACATATTTTCAAATGTGAAAGTCCACTTCACCATTCACTTATTGAAAGGTCTTTGTCAACTTGAACTGAAACAAACCACTATATCAAAGAAAAATAATGCCATTTTATCAGCTGAAATAATCTTTACAGATTACCAGATACTGGATTATAAACCATTTTTTTTTACCTTTACTTTATTCTGCAGTGTTGGCTGCTTATTTGTTTGCTGATCCTGCTTGGATGTGGGTTGAGGTGGCGACACCTTGTTGGGGTCCTGGTTGCTTTCTGTTGGAACATGTCCGTTACTTGTGGATTTCTTGAAAAATATAAAAAGGCAATGCAATGTTTTAATCCATAGTTGATTTTTGTCATGCATTTTTCAGTAATTTAGTTTGTAGTTGAACAGCTTCTTAATGAATATTGAAGTGCATGTATACTGATACTGATAAATGACAAACTTATGTGTATTGCATATATTACCAGGTGTATCTCTCTTCCTCAGATAAAAAAAGATATTTCCTTATAATTTAAAGAAGCATCAAATATTGTTCACAATCCAAATATTTTGTCAATATAACCATATGAAAAAGCTCTAAATTATTCAATTTCTTTATCTCCACAAAATACTTCAAAAAATAAAATAAGCTTGAAAAAAAACAAGTTATTTCCATAAAATTAAGTGGCATGGACACAAACCGCAAAGTGAATTATATCATCAATCTCAATCTGAATTAACTCTACAATTACTCCACTCGGGTTTCGGGATTTGCCGGTGTGTCGATTCACATGACTTGCCATATGTGACTCGATTTGTCACCACTAGAATATGATTTCAAAATGAAGTGCATGGTTGCATTTAAACTAAATATATATATCGCTATTCTTGGGACATAGAATCAAAGCTCTTATTCTGTTATAACCACTTGTTACCTTTTGCTTCTTCTGTTTCTTCTGAGACTTCTTTTCTTCGTATTCGAAGTCAAAACTTGGAGGCTGGACGGGAGATTTGAATCCAAAGATCAATACTAAAAGAGCACAAAAAAGAACACCAGCTACAGGAGCCGCATATTGTAGTGTCACCACCTCCGACAGCTCCATGCTGTCACAGAAAAAGACTAAAACGGTGGCTAAACAGGGCACAGCTGTGAAGACATGGACTGACTGTCTGCTGACGTCGCAGCCTTCATTAGCGTCATCGAAACTTGTGTTCATGTGAAAGGGCTCGTAAAAAATAAGGCTGCAAGCGGAATAAAATTATTCTATACAACTAGCATAAATTTTGATTATCTTGAATCAATATTGTCACTGTTGGTGTGATTTATTTTATTATGATGTCAAATAGTTTTTATATATGAGTAAACGTTTTAATGAAAAATTCTGCTATTCCATGTTATTCCTTTTCGGAAATAATGATGACGTACAACACAAGAATGCTACAGCGTTGATCAAGTCAGATTGCGTGACATAATTACATCAACAACTTAATTGAGAGGTGAGTTTAGTTTTTTATTTGTAAAACAATGAATATTTCAACTAAAATCTGTTAATCTAACACTTAAAATTCAATTGGTTTATATTGTTTTTATCTTTCGGATTTACAATCTGTAAAATTGAGATGGAATGTTGCCATCTTGGAACGTTCAGTGACTGTGAGTCAGCGACAACAACAATCAACATTGGAATACTTCAAGACTTATTGTTGTTGTTGAATGAAGATCTAATCATGTCTGATAACATAGCAATCACTTGTACATGATTAGATCAACTAATTACCCTCAGGAAATAACTCAAGATACGCAGTTCATTTCTAGCTTTTTAGTTTCAGGTCGGCAATGGCAGATGAAGAAACTGGGGAAGATGATAGTTTGGTATCCTGTAAAAAGACTGACGTTACGACATGTGGAGGAGATTTACAGACAGCTTTTAAGAACTTGAAGGTTGATCCAGAATGGTATGCAAGGAATTTTGACACGCAAGACCATTATTATTTTTATTACAACATTTTATGATATTTTAACCTTTGATCCAACCCCATACAATCGATTGAGAAGGATAATAACTTTGTTTAAATAGACATTATTTCATTGTCATTAGTATAACACAAAAATTTCTATTGTAGGAATTCCAAAATGGTAGAAGACAAATCTTGCAAGCTGTTTGTATGCAGTTTATTATTAGGGTAAGTGAGTTATGAGTAATGCCTAACATAGAATGCTATGACAACTTGAAAGAATTTAATATGGGATTTTTGCACCAAATCTAATTATCTGATCTTCAAGAAAAAAAAATAGCAATTTTCACCTACTACATGTAGTACTCAAAAATCATATCTCAACTTGGAATTAATGTTTTTTTCACCATTGCGAAATAAATGACTTAGTTCAAAATAAATGCGATTCATTTAGACCACTAGTCTTCTTGATATTAAAAAAAAAGTTAACCAATGAACTTAAATTGCAGGGGTTAAATCATTTTGAAGGTCTGAATTGGGAAGGATGAGTAGTTTTCAGGATATTTGAGGGCATAACTTGACTGAGACATTTTCAAACTTAGGATTCACTGAATATGTAAATGTCACTGAATTATTACCCTTATCATCCTGATTTCTTTTCTTTTTTCTGATTATATTAATATTAGTCTTTTCTTGGTTCTGCAGAAAAAATTCATCTGCTGCCCAACCAGAAGCAAAGAAAATGAAAAAAGTTACACATGAAAAATTTAAGGCCACTACAAAAGTGAGAAACTATCGAAAAGCTCCATATTCAGTCCCAGATATACCATCAATGGAAGTCCTAAGTTTTCAGAGGGATGAGTGCAATTGTCAGACATGTAAAGATGACTGCTCACATACTCAGACAGAGTTAAAATACAACTATGCAAGGATTATAAGTTCATCAAACCACAGCATGGAGAAGAAGAAGATTCTTCATGATGCCAAACTAAAGCTTCACAATAGTGACAAAGATAGAAAAACTGTCATCAGAAGCGCGAGGCTTCATATAATTAAAAAATCAAAAGTTTCTGTATCAATTAAAATGCCAGTGTCTAATCTCCAGTTGCCTGAATGTGGGCTTCCTTCGACAAGGACTTTTGGTGCTAATGCAAGTGGTCTGACAGACTTCTCAAAGATGGCAAAAGATCATTCAGCTGATCAAAAGGCAGAACTTGTCACTTGTGAGAGAGATAAAGAGGGAAAACGTGGTGGATATTCCAATTACAGAGGAGAGACAGTTTGCACATCTTGCAGTAAAGATGTGAAAGAAATCTGTGCAAGTAATGGAGACCACCCCTCTGAGCTCCCTGTGATTAGTCGGAAAAAGATCACAAGAAGTTCTTCTAATTCACCAAGAGAGAGTTTGGAAACTCCAACACTAACTAGAACATGCTCTCAAGAAGCAAGGCTTGATGAAATGACTGTTGATGAACTTGCCTGTTATTTTGAAGACTTTGTCTACATCCCAAAAAAGATGTCTTCCATGGCAGAAATGATGTACACCTGATTTAAGCGGAATGCTGTGTAATCATGATGTAATGTTGATTGTAATTCAAGCCTGTATTCTTATCACATGGAGTTGTACCAATTTTCCATCAAGTGCTTTAGAAAGCAGGATAATTTTGGTCAGGTTTATTAATTCTTTAGACTTTTTTATTTTTAATCTTCATATTTATAATGATAATTTTTTAAAACCATTATGAGTTGATAAGTTTAAATTGCACTTGTTACTGTAAGCCTGTGATGCTTTGAATGAAGTTGCCCCCTTATAAATATTGCAAGGGGGTATTTAAGGTTTGGGTGAACAAGTATATAGCCTCTATATAATTGATTTGACAGCATAGTTTTCAGCTTATTTATGGTATGATTTGCAATATTAAGTTGTCCTGTGTATTTATTTATGTAATTTGCCTCTGTAATTTAAAGGTTTTTCATGCACTCATTTTCCTTTTTGGTATGATTTTTTTTTCATTATTTCTTTATTTTATACCAACATCCTAAAGCAGGAAAGTAAATGAATGTGCTGTTAAGGACTTGGCCAGTTTTTGATAATCCTTTGTCGAATTTAACTGTTCATTAGAAACTGTTGTCAGCAAACAAACTTATTATACGAAATCTTTTGTGGAACAAGGCTTTGTAAAACCTGGCCTTTTGCCAACCAAAGCTTTGTGAAACTTTGCTCCAGCTTACCTTACTTTAGCTAGTTCATAGCCATGCATTAAACGTTAAATGCGAAATTATTGGTGGATGCTCAATGTTATAAGGTGCATAGAATACATAAGACATATTTCCAGAAGTTTCATTTCAAATTGTTACCTTACATTTAGATACGTAAAGAAAATTGTACAACATAAATAGCTATAATTTAATAGTGGATCAATTGACAGTTCCTATCCTTTCTAATGTGATGATTGCTCACTTTGTATTATTGTAAACAAGGATTGTATTTTTCAGTTAAAATAATAAATATTTATATCATGAAACCATTTTGTTATTGCTCATTGCTAATAGTGAACAATTTGTAAATACAGAAAAGTATGACAACACAAACATGGCTGACATTGAGACCCACCACTGGCGCCAGATAAATATAATTTAGAATAAATGAATAAGTTATTGGTTACTAAAATGAAATATGTGCCGCATACAGGTCTAACACATGGAGATTCCCTTCTGAAATGCATTACTGCAGGCGTATTGCATCGCAGATCGGCGATTTGAAGATGCGGTATAATCAAAGCGACACATGGTTTCATACTATGACGTCAACTATTGTTACTCATAAAATAGTTCCTATAATATTACCTATATTAACAAGATAACTCAGTTGAATATTGTTATATGGTCTCAATAGATTTGATTGGCTTTAGATTATTATTCAACACAAAGGGTAAGAGCTATTTTAGGTGTATTTTATGTTTATTAACATTGATTCTTTTTACCGTACTACTTTCTTTTTTACCAGACAGCAGCCATATTTATTTCGTTGAGACAAGGAAGAAAACTTGCTGTTATAACCAAATACATTTTAACGCATCAGACAACGAAAAAGAAGCCAACATGCGGACGAAAGTCCAACCAAAGAACTCAAGCGAGTATAAATGCTGTTTCTGTTGTCATGTACGAACTGGAACAGTTATTCTTGGAATCCTGGAGCTGGTAGGTAGAGCATGTAAAATAGCCTGTTTTTATCTTACAAGATTATTAATTTTCTCATTATCTTAACCGGGCATGTATTAGTATATGCCTAAATGTCAAGTAAAACGTTTGTAGTTGTGGTTGTCAACTGAACCAAATGTATTTATTTATTACCTCCGCCAAGGAGGTTATGTTTTCACCCCTGTCTGTCTGTTTGTTTGTTTGTCATCAACACAAAAAGTTATGGACCGATTTTTATGAAATTTTCAGGGTAGGTGGGAAATGGGTTAACTTAGAAGTGATTAGTTTTTGGTGGTGATCTGGATCAATTTTCAATTAATAATCAATAATAATAAAAAATCGCTGCCTTGGCGGAGGTCTGCGCTCTCGGAGTGCTTTTCTAGTTTATTATTTTATTTATTTATTTGGTTTGTTCCTAATTTAAAGGTGTTTGATCAACATATTTTATTCGGTTGTGCAAGTCACGAGATTGAGAATGCAGTGAAACCAAAACCAGGCTGAATCAAATACTTACGACTTGTGTCATATTTACAATATCACATTTGAGTAATATTTTTTATGACAAAGCGACAAATATGTTCAAGAGCAATGTCTTGTGATAATATCATGTAATGAATCCTTGTGCCTCCAGAACCCTGCCTCAAAGGTTAAGTTTAGACTCACCTTCAACAAAAAAAAAATGAAAATCTCTCTTTCTCTCTCTCTCTCTCTCTCTCTCTCTCCTTTTTGGTTTTGTTTGGCATGACTGATACAAACACTGCTGTCAAGTAAAATGAAGCATCTGAAACAAAGTGTTAAATGTTGCATTATATTTAATTTGGTTTGTACCTAATATAAAGGTGTTTGATCAACAAATATTACGATAGAGAATGCAGTGAAACCAAACTTTTTTTTTTTGGCATGACTGACACAAACACTGAGCTGTCAAGTAAAATGAAGCATCTAAAACAAAGCATCAAATGTTGCATTATATGTTCTTGTGATTTATACTGACACTTTGTTCACACTGATCTTTTTTGTCAATTTCTTGAAGGGTAAGTCTACCTTTTATGACGACGTTGACTTGCTTTGTTGCAAAATTCAGCCTTCATTAAACAAGAAAAGTGGGATGACGTGGAATTCTCTTTTAACATGCTTTTTAATGACAGTAAAGATATGTTAATACTAATGATTAATATTTTTGTGTTTAATTATTCAGATTGCCCAGGTATTTGCTTTGATGTTACTAGTGCTGGCATTCATTCATCCAGAGATACTGCAACAGTTCCAAGGTACAGACCCTACTACAAATCCTGTGGTGAGCAGTACAACACCTAGCCCTGCTGTTGACTTTTTTGAGGTGCAATATGATTCTAAAGCAGTGGAGCCAGCCTTGGATGCGTTTGATTATGATATGATGGACAATCTGTACTGGCACCAACGCAAGTGGACGACAGGTGTTATTTTCATTATTTTATTTTTATACAGTTAAATATTTAGATATCACTGCTCTTTTATTGAAATGTTAATAATGTAAATTAATATTCTATTATCCAGGAGTCAGTTTTTATTTTTCACTTCAAAAATGTCCAGAGTATCACCCCATTTTGACAGGATGGATGGGTTTAATTTCAGGTGTAGATTTTTTGCTTAATTGTGCTCAATTTCTTGGCAATAAGCCTAGATAACTGTATTGTATTTAGAAATATTCTCTATTTTTTCTTTCAGATGATTTGTACATTGGTATGGCTGTAGTTCTTGGGATTATCTTCCTCACTATCTGTCTCTTATATGGAGCTTTAAAGGTAGGGCCAACACTGCTAAATTCAATTCAAGAATTATTATGTGCTTCACTTAGTTAAAATGTAAGCTGGAATATCACAAAAAAGTATTTCCATTACTGGTTTATGGACCTGGTAATTTATTGAAAGCTTCACCGAAAACTCTGACTTTTAGTATTTATGCTTGAAGATGATGCTCAGAACTAATGATAATAAGGCTAGACCACTTTCTAGTTCTTTTAAACTTGCAGATATAATTGTATTTTTAGGGTCGTCCTGGATATTTGCTGCCCTTCTTTGCTTTCCAAGTTTTTGACTTTGCCCTAAACTGTTTGACCTTCATTGGCTACATCACTTACATGCCTGATGTGCAAGTTTACCTTAGAGATCAGGTTAGTTATTTGATTTTGTCAACTTAAACAGTCAAGAAAGAACTTGATTCAATTGATTTCACTGTTTGATTTTTATTCTGCTAGAATGTGAGTAAAATTTTGACGTCATCTGCAAGAAATACTTAAATTATTTTTACTGATATCTTTATTTTAAAAAATAGCTCATGTTAATTTGTGAGGACGTTTGCTTTTGAGTGCATTTTAGGGGATTGATTGTGTTTTCTTGTCTTTCAGAATTTCCCTGATTGTCTGAAGGAACACTTGATGAACTGTGATCCTCAGCTTTTGTCCATTGTGGTCATTTCTATCTTTGTCCTGTCGGTCTCTCTTAAGGTAATTGAGTTCTTTGAAAAAGATATTGACTGTACTTGATGCATATTTTAAGCATGGTATTGTTTTCTGTTTAGTACCTACCTTTGAAAATCACTCAAAATTTTGATCCCAAACTTAGTATAAGAACCAAAGCATGAACGCTGGGGTTCTCGTGTTTTCACCTCCAAAAGAAGTATTTAATAGTTTATATGTAATTTGCAATGCATGTAATCCCTGTAAACCATGGTTAACATCTGCTTTTGATTACAGGCTTACTTCTTGGGGGTGGTTTGGTCTTGCTACAAGTATCTGCAAGCTGTGGATTGTGCAAACTCTGTTGTTGCCCATTACAATGACTCGGAGGCAGAGGTAAGAAAGAGTGTGTTTGTGTTAAAAGTTTTGAGACATCTTTCAAAAATTGAGAAGGTGTCTTCTGTTTTTTGCATGTCTGCTGGTCACAGTTACAACTTAAATGTTTCATACTTGATTAAATATCATTTGCAAGGGAGACATGCATTGTTCATGGTATTTCTTTTGTTTTAGATGCTGTTGCCCCCAAAATATGAAGAAGCCATCAGCCAAAGTGAGAATCCTCCTCCTCCATACCAACCTGCAGAATCTGCTTAAATGCAACATAGCTTCACACAACTTTGCTGATATTAAAGCTTTATTTGGATGAATATTACACACTGTTACTAAAGCTGTCTCCATGTTGACTTCTATATATCAAAGAAGGTTGATGGACTTAACATATATCTGTTTAGAATAGAATTCAATTGTGTCAACTGCAGAATGAGTTGACTATTTATGAAGGCTTGGAAACCCACACACTGATATGAATGTGCAGCTCGATGTACACTAGAACGCTGAACAAAGTTCAATCTGTAACTTAAATTTCCAAGTAAAGACCATTTTAGACAATGGGTCATTGTGATATCTGATGTTATATTCTTTGTAGAGTATGAAATGTAAATTCTTCATTGTTGTCCACTGATCAAAACATTTTATTTAAGTGGGTCAGCTTTTATGATTATGTATTTATGTTCTTTTGAGGGGGGGTTTAAAGAAGACTGGGTGGAAAGGATGGGGGTTAGGTGAAGTATTACCCAGAATGTAAACTCGTATATTCTCTAATGCTGTGCATTTTAAATCTATGGGATCTTGGTGAAATAAAATATTTAAACGTGTTCTTCTGAAAGCAGTGTTTTTAGGGAGCAGACTATTTCACTATAAAACTAGCAGCCTGGCAATTGGTATACAAAAGGGTGGCGTTATCTTATACCCCCTCCCCAAATCTCTTGTGCCATTGAAGATTGAAATGTGTTAGTTGTGACCTGTCCTACAAATTGCGATTGTATGTCGGGTGCTACTCTGTCAACTAAACTAAGGATGCCACCTGAAACTGGCTTCAGTATGTTTTAAAACAGGCATAGATGTGAGTAACTTAGTATATGTCTCATCGCTGATGTATCACTTGAGACTACAGGAAGATTTGAAGGAAAGCAAAAAGAAATAAAACGGATCGGAATCTCAACCATGATTGCGTTCCACACTTGTATTATTTTGAATGTGAGTCTCAGATCACTTCAAATTTACAAGTGTAACATTACTAATATGACAGGTTTTCTTGATTTGGCATCCCACCACAATTAACTTATAAATAAACTAAACGACAATCAAGGCAAATATATAACGTAGGCGATTTCTTTTTCAGAATTCGATTATGATTATACATTTATTCAAGATTATGCATTCTCATCATAACATCAATTCGTAAAGATGTGGAAGGGAGAGAGAAGAAGCTAAAACTCTTAATTGTGATTGAATACACATAAGTACCGCCTGCAAACGCGCTAACTG